ATGGTTGCAAAGATGGTTGCAAAATCCACATTTTATTACGTACCATTGGCAGGTGGTTATAAAAATTCACGTCTTATTCGGTAACACTGGCTGATGGTTACAAAGTTGGTTACAAAAATTCACGTCATATTCAGTACCATAAGTAGATAGTTATCAAAAACGCAAATATTATTTGGTAATATTAGTAATTGTTACAATAAAGCGATATATCACTTGTTTTCATTGATTGTTACCAGTAAAGCTATATCACTGGTTTATAAATGAGTGATTCTCATTTGTTACCATCGAAAAATGGTTTGTTATCTTCAACCTCAGTTTATTACTGTATATATTCCTTTCTCTTCATATATCATATATATCATTTCATTTCAGATTTCTATGCAATGATAGTATTCTGGAAGTTCAACTGATAATTGTTGTATGACGCCAATGTTTGTCACTGATTTCGTTTTCGTAATATTATCACTGTTTCCAGTCTTAACTTTCGGAACAACTGAAATGATGTTAAAGCCCTGTTCCCAATTGCTAATGGGACAGTAAGTGTCCAATTCATCTTTCAATAAATAATGTTGAATTCTCGAAATTTTGATTAATAAAAGTTGAACATATTCCTTTTCCAGTCATTTTATCATTCAAAATGAAGACTGTTATAAATCTAGCCATATAATCGTGTTTGTAAACTTATCAATAAATATGATTATCTCTGTTCCACTTACTTGCCATATTTTCATCCCATTTGTTAGGTTGTCTCGTGATTTTTTAGTTTAACTATTTCCAATGCAGGTATTGGTGTGAAGAGCCTGAAATCTCACCGATTACTCAGCTTCCTGAAACCTGTGAGAAGGATAATTCAATTACAGGTCAGTGGTGTAGCTTTTAAAATGTACGCAGTGTTATGATATTATTCATCTAAGGTTGATGGCGTGAGTTTGCGGGGAGTTGCAGTTGTTGGTTAATATGACAGTTTATAATGCATGCGTGCAGCACATTATATGTTATTTGTCAGGCAAGCTTTTTACGAACAAGTAATACGCCTGATTTGTAGCCAGTTTGTGACCTCCACCTCCAGCTAATAATAGTAGAAAAGAATCTTGAAATCTGGGTTCTGAAATAGGCCGTATAGATTTTTAACCAGTTCTCATGTTCGGCCATAGTTTATTTCGAAATCACATGCTGTTGATTTTTCAGTTGTTTGTGAAGTGGCAAATGAAATTAACTGTATAGGATTGGATAACGGCACAAGGAAGTATGTTTTTTAGTTTTTTTTTCTGTTCCCCCTTCATATGTTTTCAAGATACATTTCGAAATGATTGTCATAATGTGTTACAGAAGTCTGTAAAATAATATGCTTCTTCTTTAACTTCCCATACTTTTAGATTTCTGAAACGTATACCAAATGGATGTGCTTATTCGGCTGGTACTGAATACAGTACTGCATTGTTGTTATCAGTATTTTTCGGTTGGCTAGGTATTGATCGGATTTACCTTGGATATTATGCTATAGGTCTGGAATTTTTTTCTTAGATTTCTTAATTACTGCTTGCTGGTATTAGGTGCTAGTAGTGATTCATGGTAATAACTATAACTTTATTCAATTCAATGGCTGTGAATGTAAAAGAATGCTGCAGAATGCAGTACCATTTGTTATCAAGACAGGATTTTAGTTATTTAAGCTCCAAAAAAAGCTCTATTTACAGGGTTTTTTTTCGAACTTAGAAAGGGGATGGAAGAAGAAAAGTGGAGATCAGATTTTTTTTTTTTGCTTTAAGTAACACATTTGCATCTAAGATTTTTCAATTGATAAACCTTCATGTGAACTGTTATCATTATGGTTATATATAATTACACCATATTTTTATAATTTAAGAACCTGTCGAATTCTCCGTTTCTTGCAGGATTTCTGAAGATGTTTTCATTTGGTTGCTTCACATTATTGTATCTTTTGGATATCGTATTAATTGCGTTGCAGTTGTTAGGACCAGCCGATGGTTCCGCTTACCGGATTAATTTCTATGGGCCGAAAGCGATACCAATACGATTCTCGAACGATACTTATGTTTCGCCCTATACTTGTTTCGATTGTCCACCATAGTTTCTTCTTCTGTATTCTTCTCAAGCTTCGACTTTTACAGTAAATTTTTGTTTCAATTTCCGAAGAGTGAAGTTTTACCAGTTTTACTCGTATATGGTGTCTAATTTCTCACTTTGTGATGCACTTTACTTATTATTATTTGCTATTGTACGGGTACGTTGTTCAAATGTTCATACAATTTTTGCCATAGTTTGTGTTAATTCCTTTTGTACGGTATTATCCAGCATAGATATATAGTTCAAGAACATTTAGAACACGACAAGAAATTGAATTTGATTTCAAATACAGTTATATTCTGTTGTGGTTTTCCAATTTTTAACCCCGTCTGAAGTTTTATAATGCAAGTAGTTTTGAAGTTCTTTTGGAAGTTTTTCGATTTTTATGAGCTCTAGGAATGTCATTTCCACTTTTTTTCAGTGTTAGGATTATTTCATACTGAGATTTGAAAAAATGTCTCAAGCACAGCTTCAAATGGTAGCTGATTTGGAAATGGAAATGATGGCTGACATGTATCGGCGGATGACGACAGCATGTCAGCAAAAATGTATCTCAACTCGTTACAGGTAAAGCACATTGTCATTTTTATGCTACAGATCTTTCCAGTGTGGACGTACCTTTCGTGTTGTAAAGCTCTGCGAAAAGTGAAGCTTATTCAGTGTGTTCTAGTGATTTAGTGAATATATTACATATTTTTGCCTTAACATAGCTTAAAAAAAAAAATCCCATTTTCTCGGCGACTTTTTATGTCTCGACTTATTAAAGAAAAAACACTTTATGTTGTTTAATAAGATGGTAAAATTTTGATATGATTAAATGCATAATAATTAGCAGCGAATTATCTAAATTTCAAGTAATCGTCTTTGAGTTTTCTAAGTTTTTGCTGATTTCCAGAGAGGGGGAATTGACAAAAGGTGAAGCGGTTTGCTTGGATCGTTGCGTCGCTAAATATTTAGATGTACACGAAAAACTTGGAAAGCGGTTAACGTCAATATCACAGCAGGATGAGAAACAATTACAGCAAATGCAACAACAAATGCAACAGCAATTGCAGCAACAAGTGAAATAATAATTAAATAATCTCATAGTTATTTACAAATTGCTCACATTTAAAATCTTCGTTTTGTTGTCTTTTATTATTAGCATAACGAGCTGTTGAAAGCACTTGGACAAAACAATTAAAAAAATCATTTAACGATGTAAGTTTGTATTCGATTTTCATCTTATACGTCAGAACCAGACAGAACATTAAGTTTACAATAAATGCATGATTATAGAACTTTTGCTGTACCTGATAGCTCTACCTGAATACCTCATCTCAACACTAAATGTAAGATAAAATATTTTAGCTCCAAATTGTATCCTTATTTATCAAAACGATAGTTGATATTGCTAATTTATCCTCATAGTGATAAAGTAAATTAGTCATAACATAAATTTCATTTCAGTAATATATATGCTCCATACTGTTACCGTTGAACGTGAGCTTACCATAATAAGTCCATAAGATAAGCATGAATTTACTGTAACAGCAAAACGAAACAGACCGTTTTGTTTTTATAGCAAAAAAATAATTAAAGTTGGATTTTAATTTAAGCGATGAGTCATACGGGAAGTTGCTTTATTCTTTTCTTTATTTTTAAACAAATTCCTGCTTGTCATCCTACAATATAAATGAGATGAAGTCAAGAGGGAAAGTTTAGCATAGTGGACAGTAAACTTATCGAATTTCCATCTTTTTTTTTATTTCAAATACATTTGACTCATTTGTGACATTTGAATGACATTTGAATTGCGACATTTGAATATTGACATTTGAATGTAGAAATTGGAAGTGAATGTCGATTATCGAAAATTTGTTGAATTTCATAGATTTTCATTTTTGCTTCCATTTTACTTAAAAGCTGCTTCAAAAAGCAAGTTCGGAAATCTGGTTTTCCGTTTTTAAAACATGAATAAAGATTTGTTTATTGGGAATAAAGAAGTACAGCGTAAAATTTCCTAACATCATTCATTCATTCACTGTCTTAATGAAGTTAAACACCGATTCATTTCCACTTTGACCTTTTCCTTTTTCTTGTCAATATTCGCGATAAATTGACAAATGTGACAAATGTTTTTCCTCCTGCGGTGGAATTTTCTTTTTTTCTTTTTTTTAAGAAATACGGCAATAAGAAGGAACAAAGAAGGTAGGCAATATTTGTTGATTGACGACCATTTGAAATTTGAAACTTTCCATGGATTTAAGTAAACTGATAAATAAAAGTACACTGGAAATATTTAACCATTGCTGCTATGCTTTTATACCCGAAAAATTTAATCCCGGATTCTTTTGTTCCGAGAAATTCTCTAAAAAAAAAAAATTAATCCCAGAAATTATATTTGCGGACAATTGTGATGGAAATTTTAGGGACCAAAAATATCATACCATAAATTAAGCGAAATTTCGAAAAGTTATTTTCTCGTCTTTGAATAATACATTTGACAAATTTTAATAAAATTAAAATTACACATATTATAAGTAGTTTCGATTTAAAATGAAAAACTTTCGATATTATAATATTAGGATTAAATCAGCTGACGAAAATTACCATAAAAATATACATAATTAAAATGGAAAGAAAAAAAAAGAATATCAATGTAAAGGCCATCGGAAAGGTTAAAATTTCAAAGGTTAAAATGGAGATTATAAGATGTAAAAATGTTAATGCAATAATACGATTATTATGTGGAAAACATCTAATTATTAAAATATTTTATGTTTTATATTAATAATTTTATTCATTTTAGTTCTTTTTTTTATTTTTTCTATCCTATAAGGTTAGAATTAAAGCAAGGCAAAAAAAAAAAAATTTTTTTTTCAAGAAAAAGAAAAAAGTGGCAAGTTAAATTAAACTAATTAATTAAGCAGCCTGTTTTTTTCTTCTCCTAATTTTTATAATTAAAATTTCAAGTTAGCTTCTTTGTTCTTCCTTATAAATATATATACATCCGTTGAAATGGTTGGTGATAAAAAAAAAGAAAAAAGATGAAATTTCGTAACAAAAAATGAGATGATAGATCGTATTGTTCTTTGCTCTGAAAGGTTTCAATTTTCATCGACAATTCATTTCACAATTATGAAAATTCAATGTAATATGATTGAATTTGCCTATAACTTCCTTCATTTTCTTTTCTCTCTTTTAACCCATCTCGCTCTCTCTCTCTTTTTGGTTTTTTTTTTGATTTTAATTTTAATTAAATATTTTGATTAAAAGGTTCTATTAAGACAAAAGAAAAGAAAAATTAATCTATCATTTCATCATTTTATTTTCATCAATCTCAATGATACATGAACAATACAGTAATTGATATAATAACGGAAAGAAAAGTATTCACGTATTACGTGATTTTTCCAAAATACTTTTTTTTTCTTATATTTATTCAATTTTATCAAAATATACAATGATTTATGTAATAAACAAAAGAAAAGTATTTAACGTGTTACGTGATTTTTACAGTTTTGTTTCATAACGTACGTTAAAATTATGACTTAACTGATAATATTTTTTGCTTTTTTTTTTTCTTCCTTGCATAATGCTTTATGCTATGTAATAACATTAATAGCATTAATTTGTATGGTCATTAAACATTTATCAGAAAATATCATATCATATCATATAATAAGCGATATGTAGAGGAATGTGGTTGATGTAATTGAAAGAAAATTTAAAAATACAAAAATGAAATGCTAAAAGATTTACAATCATTTAACAAAATATTGCATTTGAGGAAGCTAAATCAAACAAATGCGGTAAATATCATTTAAATAGTACAAAACATTAATTTACTAATTAAATTAAATAAATATAAGCTTATGATAATCACCATACAACAGTCATTTTATTCAATTTTAAATATTGATTTACTGATTAAATTAAACAAATATATGCTAATGACAATAACTATACAACAATTATTTCATTTAATTTTATAATTTATTATCTGATAATTTACTTGATTTCTTCGGCAATGATTTCTTCGTGTTAATAGTAATTAAGTTCATTTTATTTGTCTTTTTTTCGTTTTTGTTAGCTGAAGAAGAATTTAATTAAAAAAATAAATTATCAATAAATAAGTTAAAAAATCAATCAATCAATAAATATATAAATTAAGAAAGTTTAATTGGTTAAAAAGAAATTTCAAAAAAAAAAAAGTTGGAAGAAAATATTGATAAGTATATTGTTAAGTGAAAAAATAATATCAAATATAATTCAATTTTTTTTTTCTTTTTCAGATATCCTACAAAATGTCTCAACAAATTATTCATATTTTAATGCTATTATTATTAGGAATAATATTAATGGTGACAATTATTTCTGCACAACTACAATTTCTACCATCTGCTAATTATCATTGCATTAATTCACCAAGTTTAAACAACTATTCCACTTGGTGTGGCTATAATCAGAAATGAATAAATGAATTTGAAAAAAAAAAACTTACGCCAAACGATGATTTTTTTTTCATCAATTATTTCGATCAACGATATTTGTCAATTCAGCAATGATGCGAGCCAACAAAAAAGAAAAAAAGAAAACGAGAATTTCATCAAATTCCATTCAAATATGGAAATCAAATTGCAAATTCGATATATGTTAATTTGTTATTTTTTTTAAAATAAATTATACTTTTACTACAATGTTTTTGCAATATATGTTGTTTTGTTTTTTGTTTTTTTTTTAATTAAATTAATATTTTAGGGAAATTGCTCGTATATGTGCTTTTTAATTTATTTCGTTTTTAATTAATTAATTTTGTACCATTTGTTTATGATTGTTTTGTATTTATTATGCTTTGATTAAAATAAATTTTGCCCTATTTGAAATTATGACAAATTAATTTAATAGAAGATACAAATGAACTAAACTGATTGAATAAAATATTTAATTAAATTGAATTAAACAAATCCTTCTGTTAGAATTTGCTATTTTAATCATAATTAATTTTATTTTTATTGCTATCCCTTTCTCTTTCACTCTTTCCCTCCCTCCCTCTCTCTCTCTCTCTCTCTCTCTCTCTCTC